GGTTCGGTCGGGTAAGGATTGTTAAAGATAAAATATGCGATGCGGACTGTTTTCGTTTGCATATTGATTGATTGCGTCTTATTGTATCGGTTGTGTTGTTATCAGTGTGGGTGTTAAGTTTGATGATGTAGCCTTTGATCCCTGTCTTGGACGAGGGAGTATTCTTGTTGGGTAGGTTTTGATGGACAGTAGCAGTCGTAGGGAGTTTGGATTTGATCTGAGAGTTTTGTAACTCTTTCTTAGTAGTAGTTTTGCGACTAAACCAATACATTTTTTTACTTTTATAATTACTGCAATAAATAGGGGTCTTTGGATTTTTTCTTTACCTATGGATAGGGTGGATTTAGCAAAAGGTAACCATCTTTTATCTTTTTTGTGACTACCAAAGGTCAATCAAATTATGAATTACCTGCAAAACCATATCAACTTCATTCTACTCGTACCTATAATTGTACGTAAGCTTGATCATAGACTCCAAAAGTACGTACACCATAGATTCACAACTTGTAAAAGTTCGTAGGTATAGCATGCATCCACTTCCACTTCAGTCTACCCCTTCAGGGAGCATCAGGCGTGAAGTTATGTAGTTGATTGCGTCATTACTATCGACATCGAATGAGTTTGTCGTGTAGTCGATGACTTCAATGACGAATGATAAAAGCTTGTCAGCACAAATGTGGGTTGCTGATCAATCTTGATCAGTGACGCGAGGAGTATGCATTGCATTAAGGTTGAAAATGCTTTGTTATCGGGAAATTGGATTCTGTGTATTGAGTGTTGATTGATAAAAGTGCGATGTTAAAATTGATGCAATTATTTTGTTTGTTTCTTTAAAAGGTGATTATGCTTTTTGAAAAGATTTTTATGGTTTTATGCCAAAGAAACGGTGGATACCATGAGATGAACAATTGCAAGAAAACTTGTTGAATCACAAAATTAAACCAGTTATGTCTCGTGACAAAAAGGTTTTAGTCCATCGGCTGCAAAGCAGTTACAGCTACCTATTGGACCTTACAAAAACTCAAAGCTTTGCTAAAATAAAAAAGTATCTGAAGTTTCCTTTGTAAAACATGCACATTTAAAACGTACTTAACAGGATGTTACTGAGATCTTGCCACTAAAGAAAATAATCACAGATAACGAAGCACAAGGAAAAAATCAACAACACACCAAGTAATACAAAAGCAACTAAAATGTCTGCTGCCCAACATACAAGTCCAATAATTCTGATATATAGTCGTATCTTTATTTGTGGCCTTCGAACAGATCTTATTATTAGGAGCTATTTAACTTGAATTATTGTTCGGTAGTAAACACTATTTATTATTATTATTACTACTGGTCAAGTGCGAGAATGTAGGGTTATATTTGTTTTTAAATAGAGCATGCGATTGTGTTCGATTTTTGAATTGGTTTGACAGATACGGAAAAAATTAACTGTTAGATTTGAAATTCGAATTCAAAACATTCGTTACTTTAGTTTTGGTAAGCAGGTAACAACAGTTGTTCCATTTTTAAATGAATTGTCGAAAAAAAGAAAACTCCTTTTAAATTGCGAATTAGGTATTTGTAAACTGACTTTTTATACTGATTCCATTTTGATAAGTTTAGCTATTATCCCTACTTTGTCCAGCTGCTCTTCGTTTAAAGTCTTATCTTAGAAATATCCTATCAAACTTTTTTGAAGAAAAATACTCAATAGACAAAACACATTATTATGCACCACAGAAATACAACAACATACGAAAACAAAGCACACACCTTATCCAAACACCTCTGTTCACCCCCTTTAAGTAAAGATAAAACGTGTTATTATGATATAACTTTGAAAATGAGCTATTAGAGCTGTTTAACGCATAATTACGTAAGTAGTTAATCCTTTAACTTGTTTACATTATCGCATAAGTCGTGGTACGTGTAGCGGTGTATGATACACCGATATAATAATATTGTTCGGTTTGTCTATACGTTTGTGGGTATACATTTTGCATTAGATAGGTATTAAGTTATGGGGGAATATGGTTTGACTAAGAAGATATGTATGTAGTTAGTAATTATTTATCATTAAGAGGTCTCAACAAGATAGTTCTTGCACCTTGAATATCGTGACTAAATTCATTGCTAGTGTCTAGATTATTTTTACTCTATACCTCTAATTTTTGTCATCTTTTTTCTATCTTCTTCTTCTACTTCTATCATCTAATTTATATCATATCATAAATCGTGAAAAGTGGGTGTTACATTGTACAGTGGCATAATGTACACCTCTGCTTATCCCTTCGGGGATAAAACGCGTGATGTTATGTTAATGTTAACCTCTAATTTTTATTCACTATAGGGCTCAATTCCTGCCTAGTTAATGGAGTGGTTAATTATAATAAATTTCGAACATATTCATGTCAAATTAACACTAAAAACAAACTAATAATTTCAGCAATAAACATTTGATTATTAGCGGAAATATAAAGATCATACTGCGCCATTGTTAACGTTCAATTTAATATTGTTTTTATGTAATGTGTCCGTTTATTTCGAGCGGTATCGTCGGCTAGTTTCCAATTTTATGGTGGTTGCACATGTGGCCTGAGCCCCGTGCATATACCACGAATAATTTGGCAAACTTCCGTGAAAGGTAACAAAATAAACTATGCGAGAAATGAGATCTTCTAATACTGTTTTTACCCTAATTTTGTATTTGATTGGGTCTTTGAGCATTCTGTAACATGTGACTACTTTAGTTACTTATTTTTTTTGTTATTAAAGTTTTATTTTTATTTTAAATCTGTAACAGAAAATGAATACCACAATGGCGATGGGATCAATATCTTTGATTCAATATGAGTCGGACTATATTAGCTTGATACATAAGTATTTAAACATTTCATGAAAATGAGCACGGAAAATAGTTCTTAAAGAAAATCCTCTACGCAATGTTCATACTATTTTTAAATTAGAATAATTTTATGCCCCGAATTAGATTAGAGCCCAGATAATAGACCCACTAACTCAATACTAACGCTTCCATTTCAAAAACTAGTAATTTCTATGTCAACAATAAATCCAGAGACAGAACTTCGACGTCCAATTTTAATAAGAAATATAGCCTATTCTGGAACACCATAAAAGCGATCCGAATTTAAATAAAGCAAATTATCCTCTTCAGTCATTATAATTTGGCAAAATAAATTTATAAATTTCAGTTAGAAGGTTTTGATTCGTTTCACCACGAACCACGACAAGTTGTTCCCCACTTTCGTTGAATTCTGTACGAAAGTTAGTAGATTAAAACTGCCAATTAGGGAGCATTTGAATTCCAAGTTGTTTTAGAATTCTCGTAATTATTGTTGGATGAACAATTACAGAGAGGACCAGAATGGATATTTGACGTTATTTTATTTTCATAACTAGCCTGTCTGTCATTGTTTTTGAATGATTTAGGGCCTTGCAGAATGTATTACCTACGTTAATACTGGACAATGTAGGTAATATCCTCACTCGTACATATTTTATGTATTACATGTGATTTAAGACTATTTTTGTGTATGTATAAAGGTAAGATGCTGCATAGTGACGAACACCTGAATACTAAAATGTTACTTTTCATTGTCGTTCGATTGAAAAAGCTTACATGATTGTTTAATTTAAAAATAGAATGACTAGAAAAAACATAACATAAAAATATTTCATTATTTAAAGTATAATAAATTCAATGGTATGTTCTATTTTAATTGGTGAACACGCTATCTGTGATTTGATCTCAGGATTAGGGAAGGAGTAGGTGATGATTCTATTACATTTTCCAAACTTACAACGACAGAAATAATTATTTAGCAAACTTACATTCGGCCCAAAATACCACTGACCAAAATATTTTTTTAATATATTTGATGGGCCAACGTTTGACCATTATCTCGTCTGGCGGTAACCGATGATGCGGTCCATCGAGTCTAATATTCCCAATCATACAAAGTCTTTAAAAACAACTCTCGTTTAACCGAATCTTCTAATTACTTCGTCAAACACGAGAGAACACTAAAGTAAATCACTAATTATAAATACAGTAGAATATAAAACGTCAAAGTACCACAATATTCATAAAAATTAAACTTTTAATATAATGTGTAATCCAGTAGCAAGGTGGTAGTTCAGGAAGTGTGGCAAGTTCCAATTTAATGGTGGTTGAGCAAGTGCTGCGTCGACTCCCCCGTCCCCCTACCACAGACAATATTAATAATTTTATTGCAAGCTAGACGTAATACGTCATTAAACTGTAAATGTTTTATAAGAAAGAAATAAAATGGCTGTCCGGACATTTCCGTGCGAATGGCGGTGTTATGAGTAATAATATAGTGGGCGGTTTGTTCCTTTGTTTGTTTGGTTTTGTTATAGCGCGGTTTTTAATGCTTCAATACGTTGGTCAGTTAAGAGTGTACGTTTGAAGTATCTATGGAATTTATTGTATTAATAGAAATTTAATAAGTCTTATCGACATTTTACAAGTGTCATTTGTGTTATAAGACGTATTTTTTAATGTTTTATTACTGTTATATATACTATACCTAAAATCCACGCCGGGATATAAAATCAGGGAGTAGGTAGGTTAATTTCGGTAGATATTAAATTAAATCAAAATTATGATACTGTTTTTTTCTGTCTGAACACTATTTAAAATGAATGTGTTAATATTATTCCCATTTAACACTGCATTCAGAATTCGATCCACTCTATTCTCACACTACATTGCAAAAATCATAAACATTCTACCCAGAATTCTAAATTTAAAATACCAGTTTTATCAAAACCAAATTAAATCAAATCATTATGATTCTTTTTTCAAAATATGAAAGATAGAATATTATTGTTCAACTAAATTAAATTTTGAATACAGCATGATATTTTAAAATAAAACTATAATATTTTGTATTATGTAAATATAAAAAAAATGTAAATACCTAGATAAAACCCCTGTGTAACAATTACACGCAACAGAACTCCTTTACTTTATTCGAAAAAAGAAAAAAAAACATGGCATCAAATCCCTGTCTTGTAGGAGAGCGGTCGAATAATTCAGGTGCCTCTACTTGTGTTCAGATGAAAATGCTACTCGCCAGCCAAATGCTAATTTTATGGTGGTTGAACAACTGTGCCGAATCCAGTCGCCCTGTCCTTCGCAGTATTGCCTAGTAGGCGTCATCTAAATAAAATATAAATCCGGAGGGTATACACAACAAGGGTTGCGAATAGTTTACCCGGTATCATCATTGTACTTTAATTAATTAATTTTTTTGTTTTTGTTTTGCGTTCTCATTTCAAATTTTTTTTTGTTGACGAAAATAGATTTATATTTTTTTAATCTATGGTAAAGGTTAGTATGAAATGGAATGATAGATGAGAAATTTTAAATAATTGTTTCTTCTACATTTTTAAACATAGAAGCTATTTATTATTTTTTGCTATTTTAAGCAACCAGGGTACTAAATTGCCCGTTCTAATTGAACTTTCAGATTGTCGTAGTCAAAAAAACCGTAACCATTACCCAACGGGGTCATTCTTCACGAATCTAAAAACGTACCCTCACACAATGTTGTAGGTGATTAATGGTGGAGTCAGCATGCAATCGTTACTTTTCATTACTGTTTCGAAGTGCAGAACCGAAGGCCCGGGTAGCGGTCAGATTAGAAAAGTTCCGCGCGAAACAAGTCTAAAATCGACTTTAAAAACATAGACCAACATTTGGTTTTAGAAGCGCCCCTGTTATCGAATTGAAGGCAAGTTTAAATTGGAATGTATCCCGCAATAAGCCTCTCGTGATTGGCCTGTTTGTTCTTAATTAGTATTAATCGGAAGTTCACAGGTTTACAGTAACTTAGTACCGACCGTTCGTTTACAAATGATGCCGAACGTTATTATATGTAAGCACATAGTGTGCGCGGGATATCTAGATTACTCACGCGTGTTTGCTGTCCCAAACTTGGTTATGAACACAATCTAGACAAAGTAAATATTGGGAGATAGGAAGGTACACGATTAAATTACTTTGAACATCCTTTACAATATTTTAGTATGTTAATTATTTCGTGGATATTAGTTAGGGTGCATCTACGAACACGAAAAGTGATTAAACCCGGTAACGTGTCGGTTGCTGACCGGATATTATGTAAAATACACCTAAAAACACGGACTTGGGAAATCAGCATATTCATTTTAGAGGGTGGGCCTACCCGCCCTATCCATTAGTGAGTCATACAGTCAGTCGCAAACAAATCTCGACGCGGATGCTCCTTGCATGTATTTAAGGCAGACGAGACGATATAACAAGCCAATATAAATAGAGAAACATTATACTAAATACTCGCGCTGCTTGTATAACCAAATCTCTTGTGATACGATAAACACACGAACATTTCTGTGGAGCGTGCACTCTCAAACATTTGCTTGACGATTCCTCCAGTCATTTGAAGGGAATGACTCTTATCGTTTTACTTTTATGGACTGCGAATCGAAAAGGCTTCAACGTTACAAAACGAGACCCTTCTATTGTGTAGAAGTGTTGAGTGAATGTGCCATGAAAGTTCTTTGTCGTAGTACCAATACGTACTTCGAAAAAATACCCGGCGAGACTTCGGTCCAAAAATAAAACCGAATTTTGTAATAATACCTACCTGTGTTTTGTTTGGAGAGCAGTGTTTTAGAAGCCGGACTTCCTTTGTTATTGTAAGGATTTTGCTTAAGACCTTTCTTTAAGTGCACTTAACGATAAGGCATTCGATGTACAATTTAGAGAATCGCATTGGAAAACAACCCACTTTCCGAGTATACGACCCTATACATACAAATGTAAATATATCCTAAATAAATCCTTTAATACGCCATATGTTTGAATTCATAAAATATTCACCATGTTTAAATACGATTTTCTTTTCTTTACAGAGAGTCTTCGAGACTACTTTAGCAAATTCGGCGAAATCACAGAAGTTATGGTTATGAAAGATCCCACGACGAGGCGGTCGAGGTATGTTCTGATACATTCATTTTACTAACTTTCGTTATCGGCATTCGCCAGGAATACTAACTTCAACTTGTTTACATGTACTCCGCGTATTCTCAAGTAGAGATCAATTGACAGATTGCTTTAAAAACCACAGGAATACTTCGGAAAATTTTCTGCATACCATGAAGAATATATTTTTGAATCAGAATAGTGGAGTATATAGGAAAACATACCTTCAATTTTAATAGAATGTAAAGCTAATTGGAGAATTTTGAAATATTGTTACAATATCAGAGGCATTGGAATGCTTTGTTGCATAGTTGGGAGCGGTGGTCGGCTGGCCACGACGGCGTGAACTGACCAACTCGACTCGTACTAAAAGTTATCGGTTTGCAAATAAGTTTCATTCTATAGAGAGGCACATTCGTTTCGAAATTTGCGGTTACCTTTGAATTGTAAGCAGTTAAATGTTGGACTTCAAATTTAGGAACTTAACAATAGAACTCGAATTATTCCAACTGAATTAAGCGTTTGGACGAGTTGAATGAGGATTTCGGTATACACTTTACAGGTTGCTAAACTAAGTTCTGTTAATAGCCGTACTGCTTTGGGCATAGCTCGAATATTTCTCTGCGTACTCCTCTGACCCTTGTTTACCTTAAAGTTTTTAAGCGTTCATTACGTATAATATTGATGCGGAGCTCCTAAATAAAGTGAAATGCGTTATTAGTTGCGCAGCGAGGTAGTTGAAGTCCTTGAAAAGTCTGAACAGAAGCTTTTACAGTTACTATCTCGGCGAATAACAATCAAGCCACTACGTACACAAACTGAGTGGCTTAGTAACTTTGAGACAAGAAATAAGTTGTCAAAGTGTCGAGCTAAAGTTGCTCCGTTAGCAGCGCCTCCTGTTAGGTAAATCATCGGTTTCACAACTCAATATTGCCCCGCGTCCCTCCGCCCTGAAATAATATACCAAGAGCCGATATTGGAGCGCCTCAGCTGGGAATCTGAATGCAGCCTGCCAGCCATTACGTGCTCCGCCTCTCAGCCAAATGTAACGTAAACGTCTTTTGTTTATGTTTATTGTTGGCGAGTATTGCTTCGTCCCAACGCCCTATTAATTAAACCCATTTTAGTTTAACCATGCGACAGCAAACTTGTGCCTCAAATTCAACATAGACGGTGTTACAAACTTACCTTACTATATCTAGAACACGTGTGGCTCGATATAAAACCTTGTGGTATTTTTTTGGTTTTAAATCTTTCCAGATTGCGTTTCGCGTAGGGAAGCACAAAACTTTTTAGGTCGACACCTTATCGTAACCGTAAATCAAGCGGACATCGGCAATGGCCGAGATGTACCGTCCTGGTGTCTTGAAAGTGATAACACTTTAGAAGTTGTTGCCGTAAACAAGAATATTAGGAGGCCGGGCCTTGCATAGTTGGGTAGATATTTACAGTCAGCAATAAAGTTGTCCAACTTAATGATAAAAAGATACAAGAGCAGTAAATAAGGGAGTTTGTTGAACAAGATATGATACAAAAAAGTTATCTTCCTCAAAGGTCGGTAGTCCATCAGCGTTTGCTTACGTTTCGATCTATGTAAACTGTGTACCTCCTCTGTAACTCGTCAAAGTTGTACCAAGAAGTGTCCGCACACACCAACTTCGCCCTTAATTCTTCGTATCAAAGGCAGTATAGTTTGTCTACCGCAGTCTTGCCGAACTACAGCTTATGCAAGCAAAGTAAATCAATATCGAAAGTCAATGAATCAAGAGTAATATATACGGGTACATAATAAATGTGCTCTACCTGAAGGCAATATCTAAAAAATTTGCCTGCTCGATATTGCTTACAAGGGAGTTTCCTTTCTCCCCGAAATTTAATGCGTCGTTCGCATTTTTATAAAAAGAAGTTGGTAAGTGAAATAATTTGCGGTCGGTGCTTTATTTTCTTTTATTTATTTTAATGGTAGGTCTCCTTTCATTGTTTTTTCTTTAAGGCTTAGGGAAATGAGGGTTTCGTGAAGAAAAAAAATGTGTTAACTTTGTGTGCCTATCGTTATAAATGTCGGAATTTATACCGAGGTGTGAAACAAATTGGTTTAGTTATGATTGTAAAAAAAGAAAATTAATTACGGCATTAGACTTCTCTTCGTAAGGAGGAAAACCGGATTTATATCGGATTTCTCTTAAATGGATGAAGGTTTTGAGATGAAATGTGACATTCTGAGAGGTTTAACGATATCAGAGGGTATTTTGTGTTTTTTGTTAATATTTCTGTGTGTTAATGCGATTAGAAGCAATTTAGTTACCGTAAAACATATAAAAATAAAATAATGCCTTATTTTTTGTAACATATGGTACAGTTTTGCGTTTATGTAGAGTAGTAGAGTAACACACGAGCGTTGTTGTAAAACTGCTCATAAATTTCCGCGAAAAACATAAAATTTTTAATAAATCAAATTAAAATTAGTTTAAAAGTATCGTGTTGATAAAACCCGGAAAGTTTATTGTTTGTAGGCGTTAAGTATTTAACCACAAACCATGGTTTTATTTAAGTCGTAAAAACGAAACCTTTTATCATAATTTTACGAGCAGAGCTCCTTAAAGCACCTATTTCGTGTTAAAGGTTAAATTAGATTTGATTTAGTAATCAACCAGCCTACAACCCCGGCTTTGTTTAAATGCACCGTACTCATACGACATAAGGTTCATTTCTAAAAAAGATCTTGGTTTAATGGTTTCCGGAAGCTAGATGTTATAGTATGTTTATATTGATGAATGTTGCCAGTAATTTGTTTTCTATTTAAGTGATTGTTTTGTTTAGAACACGTGGGTTTCGGTTCGCATTCGGTATGATTTTAGTTGTAATTGAGATTTTCCAGTTGTATATTCGATTTATATTCAGTATTTTTCATTATGACATAACAAGTTAAGGTAGATCTTTACCTAGACTTAAGTTACATCTAGAAATTTAGTTTTACATGCAAGATTTTACCTATATGTGATGTTACGATAATTGCTTATTTAAAAAATATATTTCATTTAACTATCTCAATATTAATTGCGGAATACAAATCGCACATAAAACATACAAATAAATGGCGTAGAATTCTGATATGTTCCCTCGTGAATAGCAGTTTATATCATCGCTCGGCTTACAACGGCTTTACCGGGCGCGTCTCCATTCACGCCAGCTTCATTCGTTTCGCTTTCCACTAAAAATCTAAAATCAATAAAGGATCACGGCATAAATGCAAAGATTACTGTTCGCTCCATTCGTAACATGAAAAATGTACGCGCTTTTACATGAGCCGTCCGAAATAAAACCGCGAATCACTATGAGACTGTAAGTAGCACCATAAAAGAAGGATCCTTGCTTGAAATCGCTTCGGCAAACACCTACAGAGGAATAGAGCGGTGTTAAATGAGAGGGATTGCGAGTACTCCCCCTCCGTCGCCCTCGCCTCTACTTAAGACGACTTCGTATTAGTAGCTGCCTCGCAAATGGTTCAAATACTTTTTCATATTTTAACGAATCATTAAGCAGTAGTTAAAAGGATTTTCAACTGTTTTTATTAGTTTTCTCGCTTTGATAGCTAGGTAGTTTGAAAAGTTTCCTTGCCGTTATTGATTTCAGCAAGCTGCCCGTAGTTTGTTCGCAACTACATTTTTTTATTATAATTGTACGCGGAATAAATATTTCCTAATTAAATAACAAGCTTTTACCAACAAATTGATGCTTTTAATTAAATTACTAGTTTAGTTTGAGTTCAAAATAAACTTGTATTACATTCAAATCTAACTAAAAATTTGTAACACGTACGTATAACAATTTTGTCTATTCACTCGACATTGATAAAACTTTAACAAAACACAATACGAATCCCACTCAAAATGCAGAACAGCCTCAAATACCAAATCCATTTATTGAAAGCAAAACAAATAAATCAACGTACTGCTAACTTCAAAATCCAATTTTTCCGATCAATCCAATATCCTATTATCGGTAGGTTCAATAGCATCAAATCTCTATGCCAGGATAGCGTATCTAATAACAATGTTGGAGCATCATAGCCGCATTATTCTAACCGATTGCCCAGCTCTATTGCACCATCCAACCTCACCCAATGTTGTACTTAGTTGTAAATTCATACTACTAATTGATATAATGAGAAGCAATCTATTAAGATGTGATTACGCTGTTAGTCCACACTGAATTATATATTCTAGGAAATGGACGCTTCACTTGTGACTACATTAGTATCGATTACTCAGAATTTAGTATTAAGATTGAATGTAATACTTGTCAATCAGAAAGGTATTTCATGTAAAATATTTAATTAATGTTTTCTCAAAATAAAACTGATCGTGTAAAGCATTTATTGGAAGGCAAAGGACTGCTTCAATGGCAAGTAAATTGGTAGAATTTGTTCGTACAAAAACAACAGTTACTAAAATGTTCCTAGTAACGTTCATTAGTAGTTCGATAATCGGTCTGAAGTACCGCGGATGCATAATCAAGTAGTCGAGTCTGCCCGTAGGGGGTTAGGACGGGTCGGGGAGAGGGTTAGTCGTAAAACTATTACGGCAACGTTCTGTGGCGCTCCGTCGGCTTCATTAATCGGCCATCGTATGAAGCTATCAACCACGGCTATGATATGACGGAGGTCGACATATCGCACGGCTACCGCGTCTACGTGTTCGGGGGTTAATTCTAGATTGAGTTTGTTTTCCAAAGTGATTGGATTCTTATTAGCATATGGGGAGGCAAAAGTTTGTACATGAATGGACATAGGTATTTTAGTTGGACCCTGGATAAAATGATGAATCTGTTTTCATACTACGAAATAATGTATTTGAACTTTTTGAATTACCGTAGATCTCGTTAGTCTAACAAGCAAGACTGCCTTTACGTTTCTGGGTCAAGATTTTTCTGAAATATTAGTCATAAGTACCTAATGTGGAGCCTAGGAAACCTTAAACCGGTTCTATTCTTACTTTCCTCAGATAACTAAACACATCCTTGTAAAATAGAAAGCAAATCGTTTCCAAAACAAGAATGCTACGTACGTAAATACTCAATTAACGCAATCGGAGTGAGTCGGCGCCAGGAGTAAGTACAAATTAGAGGATCAGGTAACAGTGTGTCGACTGAGGTACAATTCGCGCAATCTTCGGGAGTGGTAAAGTCGTTGGACCGATCGCGGCCGACGGCGAACTAACAATTCTGTTCTGGTGCGTCACTGCGCTCGATCGAATTAAGTGCATCGTGTACTGCGTCTGTTATTTACTCCACTTTTTATTTTCTTAGTATTTTTATTTATTAGAACTAATCTAATATTTATGTGAAGGCTTTCTCACGTAACTATTCGAGGTGGTTCAATTAGTTTCGACCTATGACCGGAATTCTTGATCATGAGCAGTTTGGTTGTAAACAAAAATGTATGGTTTCAAATAATAGTTTGAATGCAAAAATAGATTTTGCTATTTTAAAAGTCTCAATAACTTAAAAAACAACGAGGCTTTTGGGTGTCTTTTATAACCTATTGAAGGACATTTACCCCTTCAGGAAATAAAAAAATCGGTGCGTTTCCTTAATTTTTCCAATATACTCACTTTACTGCGGTTCATAACAAAGATGGATTGAATAGGTAAAATTGATAGATGCAATTCAATACATGCAAATGATAATTATGGTCCCTGTTGGGCACAGCGGGGAACTGATTCAAAGGGAGGACGAAATGAAATGAACGAAGTTAGTATGCGATATGGTAAAAGTATTTTAGATGTTTATATGTCGTGTGTGATACAGACTCATTTGATTGCAAAATAGCGCACTTAACTTTTAGGCTCGTGGTGTTTAAGCTAACAAGCTGAGATAAGCTAACAAATACATATAGTTCTAGTATGAATGTATGAGGAACAAATAACCTCCAAGAAATTCCTTATTCATGTAATAAAATTATTTGGCTACCTTTTTATTTTTTTATTTTTTTTATGGCATAAGCCGGTATACGAGCAGATGGATCACCTGATGGTAAGCAATCGGCGTCGCCCATGGACACCTGGAACACCAGAGGCGTTACCGGCTTCCTGAGGATTAGGAGCTTGAGGATCGTTGAGGATTCAGGGATTGGGGAGATTAGGGGGAGGGTAATTGGGCCTCCGGTAACCTCACTCACACGACGAAACACAACGCAAGCGTTGCTTCACGTCGGTTTTCTGTGAGGCCGTGGTATCACTCCGGTCGAGCCGGCCCATTCGTGCCGAAGCATGGCTCTCCTACACTTAGCAATTATAAGTATTTGTAACTATACTAGTATACAGGCAATTGTAGAACATAGGTTAGTTAGAAAAATAATCTAAAAATTCTTTGCAAAGATTTTCGCAATCTAACTACAAATTCGAATAAAATCCAACTAAATTAAATTGTAGCCAGAATGCACCTAGTATGCGAGGCGGCTAACGGTCGCGTCGGGCCGGCTCGGGCTGAACCAGATTGGGTCGGGCTAACAAGACCACCCAGGTACTGTTGCATTCACTAGATGCAACCCACCACTCACTCCTATTGCCTATTTGGTTAAATTTACCAGGATCCAGGAACTTAAGTGGGTATAACGATTTTGCTTAACGATTCCTCTTAGTACCGATCAGATGTTGCTTGAATGAAGTTACACTAGATTCTGTTTTTAATTGACGTCATTTCAGCAAAAAAAACTAAGTGTTACTCTCGTATACTGAGAAAAAGTCTACTAGGTTCGAGTCACAGAGGGTGTGCGTCTCTACGTGCTTTAAGAGCTTCTCAAACAAAAACAATCTTCATTCCTCAAGAATGGCGCAAGCGTGACGTCACCGCGACCGCCCATGCTTTTCATGAGGAAGAGTCCCTATGTTACTCGAAACTAGTAGAGCTTTTCCGGCATATTTATTTACGTGAGTTCTTTTTTTAGTTAAGTTAATATGTATTACGATAGTACTAATAATAAAAACAGATTTCAACAATATTTCTTTTTTCAATACAGTGGAAATAATATAATGATATACATGTTTATTCCAGTAGTGATTCGGAGTTAGGTATTGGTAAAGATGACGCGAAAATAGACGAACATATTCACAAACACATTTTAATTAAAAATATTAACGCACCCTTAAACATAACACTTCTAAAATACACTAGAAGAAATTGTAATATGAATTTTGTTCATTATTTTGTGCTAAATGAAATGCAAAACATTTTATTATTTTCTTTGGCTCCTAGTATTAAGGTATGAAGCCAGTGTTTTGTTAACAATTCAATTCTTAATAGAACGACGAAATTCTCTTTTATTAAATACTTCAATATTAATGAAACCTCTCTACAGATTTTAATAGAACATTTAGATAATAAAATGAGTATTCTGTTTTATTATCCTGAAAGGTATGTCGAAGAAGTTAACATTTAGAATATGAAATCATAAAATTAAATCGAACGTAATGAGTTTTAAGTCGTCGGAATTGCCTTCTGGCATTAGCGCCTTCATTTCGTCGTTTAGTTTAAGTATTTTTGTAGGAAACTATTCTTTATTACTACATGAAATAAAAATGAAATCTTTTCCTCAAAAGTTTCAATACTAAAGAAATTTGATATACCTCTCTAAAACTCAAAAAAGTACCCAATTGGATATAGTCGCCAATACAATTAGTTATACAATCTGTCAATCTTTTACTATCACGGAAGAATAGTCCCTATTCCCGACTGTTAGTGTCTATAGTTGGCTGTTGTTGTTGCGTAGTGGATTTCTGTACCGATTGATTCTGATTTTTATGCGAACATGCCGTTAGCAGTGTGCCAAGGATTAAGTATTGCAGTGTCCGACACGAACAAATAGACATCATTACATATAAGCATTGATTGATTTCCTCGTCAATATCTTCCTACGACCATTGGATTATATTGTGTCACTGTAATAGAAGCTAATAAGTCATTCTCTTGATTGGTTTGCGGAGTAAATAAAATTTTCATTTGTCATCGTGGTTCCGTTGGTGCTGAGAGTCCTTCTGGATATTTCCTTGTTGTAGGTGACCGTAAGGGTTGTTAGTGTAAATTTATTGTGAAATAATTGTTTGACTGAGTTTTAAATATTGTTAGAGCGAATTTTGGTTCGATACTGAAATTCGTGTTTTCAAAGGTTATATGTTTTGTATAATTTCGCAATTCATTAACGTCACAACGAAATAAATAATCGTAGGTATACGTAAGGAACAAGATATTTTTATCCTACTTCAGAGTCGACAATAGCATTTTTTTTATTTTAATTTTTTTTTTCTAACTTTATAATTTTATAATTTTATTCTATCATACTTTAGACGTATATTTTTTAAACCAGCTTAACTAATATAGATTAACAGAAGCAAAATTTAGAAAGCACAACTTGGACTTCTTAAAAGCATTTCAAATATTAACATTAGGTTCAGATAATAGGATTAGAGGCTATCACGAAACGAGTTCAGAATTTTCAGAATTGTTTGTCTTTTTCGGAGATAAAGTCGAAATCTTTTGTTGTGAACTAGCGGCCATCTTTAAATGATTAGGTTTTGGATTTATCACAAAATATTACTTTTAGCTTGCTTTCGAGTTAATTCGTTGAGACTTTTCCTACCTTAAGGGATTTCGAAATTATGTTTTTTTTTGTTTTAGATCTACTTTTCATTGACTATAATCTTGCTGTGATTGATTTTATTATAAGGTTATGACATTATAGTTATTTTGTTGCATAAAATAACTAAGATAAATAGATATTAAAAAATATCGCGCCACAGCACTATAATAATTTTCAGTTCTATAATGTTACTAAATTCGTAAAAAATTAAATATTACATCCCCAAAATATTTTTTTTTCTAAATCTGATCTCCGAATCAGGGTACGCCAAAAATATCACAAGCGAGCTCTATTTAAAATATAAGCCCTGCTCAAATATACACCATACAGTTATTAATATAATCGATGCTCTAGAGAGCCTATACTCAACACTTCGTAATAATGTTAGAGTGGTTAGAATCTATTTTAAACCTGGATAATCCCTTAATTTCGCCAAACTCAATACTTAGCTAATAAGTCGATAATAATCCAAGTACAAACACTATTAATCCTGATAGTCTAAATCAAATACTAACATCATCATCATAACATGTTTAAAATTCTATTCGGAGCTAGAATTTACAAAGTACCTGGAATTAGTTTGTAGCTTTAATTCAAATAATAATATTATTGAATTACTGATTTTGTTATACAGATTGCCTCTTGGCCAAATGCAACTGCTGGACAATGGATCTTGGATCTAATTCCCTGATCGCATCGTCGGTCAAATTGTATTTTTTTGTTTTTATGAAGAATGTTCATAAAATAGTATTATAAGAGAAAAGTGTGGGTTAAAAGATGATGATAAGAATTGAAAAGGAATTGTTACGCTGGTTTGGATATGTAAAAAGGATGGACTTACCGGGTTGCCGGTTCTCCGGCTCGAAGTGCAAGAGTAGGAACGGAGTTGTTTTTTAGTCAGTAAGAGTCTGACACTCCCTCCCGTCTCACCCAGGTGGGAGAAGTCATTCGATGATTGACCTGTAAAAAACCCTTTTGACAATTAAAAGCGTGACATTAAATGACTCCATTAACTGGATTTAATATTTGAAGTAGTCTGTTATTTCAATTGATAATGTACATGGGAAGCATGCCAATAGAACTTAATTTTCACCGGTCCAGCCAAATAAAAGTCCACGACTTAGGTCTCATATTTTCTAACTCATGTTTTATTTATGTCGGAAGATAAGCAATCTTACCATTGGAAGTCTAGACGCAGTGTGAATGAGATGAATTAATGAAATATATATCGACTCTGTACAAGTGAGCGTTTATTGGTTCGAAGGTGAGTTTCGATGGTAGGGGGCTAGTACTTTTGCTGTCTTGTTGTTTTTGTGCAAAAATGGTTATACTTTTGTTAAATTGGGATTTTTGACCAACTGATTTGCTTTAGAATATTTTGGCTCCTTATCAATTGAGACGGGGGTATAAATATTTAGCATATTTTATTGTAAATTGAAAAACTAGGCAACCTTGTCGTTGAAATAATATGTTACAACAGTAGCAATGCGGTAATACGTCAGATCCCACATCACCTCAATATTTAAGTTATACATTTTATCTCGGATGGAGATGACGGTACGCACTGCTCCAGCAGAGTAAACAATATACGAAACAAGATTAATTTTCTTGAAGATTCCCTTTCGCAGATATCCCGACTGGAATATACGATTACGTGTCATAAGTTTTATGCCCCGAAAGTTTCAAAGTAAATTCGAACATCCATCGATAAATCTTGGCGACGCTCGGAACGATTTCATTTTCGAATTTCAGGAGCGATTGCCTCCAATGTTAAAGTTTGCCTGAAAAATGTTCGCGGACGATTGACTCGCTATAAACGGAAATAAAAAGTTTTGTGTTAGAGCAATAGCATTGTACAATGCGCATATAAAGCAAAGAGAAAGCTCCAACAGGATCACTATTTGAAACCCTCCTGGATTACCAGACTTAAAATGTGACTAACTTTTTTACATCAGACTGCCATTGTGAAACTTTGTCCTGACGGACTTATAATTCACATACAAGATATAACTGTGTTGCTGTACGTCTAATACAAGTTAAGTTTTAATGTAGAATAATTGCTTAGATGAAAAACCAACTTGCCACGGCAATGAGCGTAAACACAAAGTCGTATCGCACAAGTTTAATTCAGTTAGGCTAGTGTAGCGCGAGCTGCGCCTGCGTTCCGCATTATCATTACTAAACAGCTTTTATTATTCCACGATATTTGGCTAGAGGGGCCTCACACGCGCGCTAATGGAATAAAAAGTAAGGTTACAAAGTAAAAAGATACAGAGCGCCTCCCGCGGCGGCGGTTCGTGCGAATTTCGACTGAAAATTTTATACGTTCAATCTATTCTGAGCGCCTTTATGCTGTGTCTCGCGATCCCGCCCCCGCGCAAAACAGTTTCGTTTTCAATTATTGCCCACTTGTGGAACGGGATTCGATGGAAAAACAAAAGAGCTAGAAATGATATTTTATAGACAAGTCGCTTTATTCGATGTTTACTGCACCTCGATTTGTTCTCGAGTGAGATCTGTGATGTTTCAAGAAAATTATTGACGGAACGTGCCGGGATAGCCCGCGCTCGACATGGAAGGATATCAGCCGAAGCCCTTCGTTTGCTCCACGACGAATCGATTGCTTTTAATGCTAC